TATTTTATAGTCCTGGAGGGAAAAATTCTATATAATGCAAAAACTCGGCCTTCCACAAAACCCGAACCCCAGCCTCTCGCCCATGAAGCGTCACGCTTACCACTACACCAAGCCGCCGCAAATAGGTCTAATTTCAAATGGCCACTTCGAGTTGGGATCCTTCCCTGGTGAGCTCAGCAGAAGCCGGAACTGAGAAGAACTTCGCTCTCATACTAGTCCTGGCAAATAGCCAAACTAGCTTTGATTTTTCCTTTCTAGTGACCGATGCACGGAGGGTGAATAATCCTTGCGTGTCAATCTATATTTTGCCTGTCAAAATTTTGTACAAATTTATGATATCCAACTCCTTCCGCCGGCACGCAAGAGATTCTACTGCGTGAATCTTGTTCCTGACAATTGACCTGGGAATGGAATAATAATTGGGGCTGGCTAAGGGCTCGAATAAAAACTTTTCTACGAAGCTATTTCGAACTAACTCCAACTTGGAAATCGATTTTTTCTTGCAAGGAGAGAAAATCATAGACCCATGCTCCAAAATGGAGCGAATCGCTGATTTGTAGGTTTTGATGAGGACACAAGGATCTTTGGTGTACAAACTTCGGAAGAGCTGCGCTAACCTAGCGTCCGTTTTATGAACTAGCGACATGATGTGAGCATCAAAAGACAGCTTATTATCAATTGAAAATCACAAATCCCTGACGACAGTAAGATTTTGAAGTTTGGATCCATCGCCGTAATAATTAACAGTACCCCGAGCCTTTCCTAAGCTGATAACTAAGGTTTTATTTGCGAACAGCGGCAACTCCCACAGTATTGACCACGTAACAACTCTTTCAATAGCTCCTTGAACCAAGGTGGAATATATTTCTGAAGCTATAGTCCTATAAATCTTCACATCATCACCAAACACCTTGCACTTTATATGATTTTCCTCAACTACGCTAGGGAAATGTATGAATATATACAAAATAACACCGGGGAGAGCACCCCTCCTAGCGGAACTCCACTGAGCACCGCCCCAACGGTGGAAAAGGTATCCCCAATCCGAACTTGAGACAATCGAGCATTCAAATAACTCTTAACCCATGTTGTAATCCGGGATGGATTCCAACATGTTTGAGCTTCTGAATAAGCTTGATGGGTTCACCTAGTCAAATGCATTGCAAAGATCAAAATAAACCACATCAACACTCTTCTTTTGCTCTAAAGCATCTGTCCACTCATTTGAATTCTTCAGCACCTGGGTCACTGTCGGCTTGGCTTTAATAAAGCCATGCTGACGATCGGGAGAAACACGCTGCTTTTCGAGATGTTCCACAATGACCCTTTTGATTAGTTTCGCAAAAGTTCTACTAAAGATAGATGTAAAGCTCAAAGGCCTGTAATTGCAGGGGATCGAATGCGGAGGCTTTTTTGGAATAGGAACAACATATGATAACTTCCACCTGTCAGGCACTTCAGCACGGACAGACTTAAAGGTAAATTTCAAGGGGCCTACCATAGAGGGCAATATTTTCCTGAAGAACCGAAAAGGAATACCATTAGGGGTGATGGCAGAATTGGATTTAAATTTTGAAAGAACATCAAAGGTTCAAAGACATCAAGGAGAACAAGGTCATTAAACCAGTATGAGTCATCCATTCGTTGGAAAACCCCGGGTGACATCATATCAACACTAGAATCCCTCCTCTCTTCAACAAAAGCTATATGCACCAAGGAACTTCTAGGGATCCGAGTGAGGACACAAGAGAACACTTCTTGAGGAAGCGGTGCCTATTGAACGAATCTCGTTTTTCTCTGTTCAAGTCAAGGGTAGCGAAAATGACAACTTACCTCTAGTCCGAGCTGATCGACAAATTTTTGACCCATAATAAAGTTGCAAGCCATATCAGTGTCTCCGTAGTAGAGAAGCACTCGGACATCCCCAGCAACGATCTTCTTTATAAACGGCGCCATGTCTTTGTACTGGTTCTGATAGGTGTTAGTGATTCGGTCACTGTAACCATCCATCATACCTCACATAGCAATCCAATAGTAAACCAATTTACCTGCAGATATCCCATTTAGGTAAGTTGCAAGGAATGTTAAGAACTTTTCGAACTTCAACATCATTCATGTATGTAATCACATTTGTGTTGTTTTCGCATGGGTAACCATTGTATTGAGACTCGTGAGCCTTAAGAGAGACCTTTTTCAGCTGCAACGTAGGTTCGCCGACACCACAATTCTCTAACCCTCGATAAGCTCGTGGGGTCATCAATCTTTGTCTTTGATTGTACAGAGGATTTGTAGCCGGCAGCAAACCCTGAAAAAGATTAAAAAGATCAAAAATGATCACCCACATCCAATAAGTAATGGAACGTACCTTGAAGCATGGGGGTCGTCCAGTCGCCATTGGTTGCCGGCTTCGTGTCGCAATCTCTGTATAAATCATAGGGATTCAATCCGCCGGTCAAGAGGAAGAGGTAGATGTCCTTTACCATGGTTTCACAATGACCAGTGACCTTAAATTCACTGTTGGGATCACTCTTGCCAATAGAACGATACGGCCAGTGCAGAAATTTTGCTGGACCCGAACGCAAGAGAGTCTGCCATCTGGGGATGTTTTTTGAGGGGGCAAATGAATACCTCTTCAGAAAGTACAATATTATGAGAAGACACCGAGATTATGCCTTGGTTTATGGCAAATCATGTTTATTTCAAACAACTACTGTTTCAGATTGTGCCGGGAACTATGCTCAAACCCTTGTGACTTCGAATTCATGAGCTGTGCAAACGAGAATTCAACCTCAACTGGGGAAGAACATCGTCACGAAGGTCTAGTACCTCAGTAAGATCGCAAGAATCGATGCAGCCTTCGCAACAATCTCTTTGAAGTGTATTCCATGTCTCTTCATCGATGATTCCGTGGCCGTAAGCATATCGAATGGATGTGTCGATGCTTAACTTTCCGTGTACCATACCATTTCCAACTGCGATTCCCTTTAGGAAGTAACATTTGCAGTCATCTGCCAGATTCAGAGTGTTACCATGGCTCAGGCTTACCTTCAGGTTGATGGGGAAGTCCTTTTGACCAACAAGGACTCTTTCCGCCAATGTTGGTACATAAACACCTCCTACGATTGTCCCGTGATGAAGGTAGCGTGGTATCGGAATTGAGGGAAAGTCTGTGATTTCGCATTGTATTCGTCATGAAACTCAATTGAACCCTTATTTTAAGACAACCTGAAAGAATTGCTTGACAGCATCGTAGTTTTCAAGTGAAGTCTGATCATCGTTGGTGGTGATGTTCCCATCGGTAGAATAAGAGTATCCGACTCCCGCAGGGGACTCGATATACACCACTGAGGCCATCTGGAAACTGTACTTCTTTTATAAGAAGGAACTAAGATCTTCCTCAGGTTATCAAAGTACCTACTTTATTCCAAGAATATGGGTTCTCACTGAGGCTTTTACCGTCAGAATTCACTAAGTACGGTCCCATCTCGTTGAAAAGGCTATCTAAAGAGGAGCATCCTGGACCGCCGTTGAACCAGAAGATGAGAGGGTCTTTGTCTGGGTCATTCTGAGACTCAACGAACCTAAAGTCGTTAGAATTAAGACATGAAGTTTGGAGCAAACGGTAATTTCGGGGAACATTTACCGTTTGGGAGGAAGCTTACCAGTAATGAAGTACATGATGTCGGAAACTTGAAAGAACCCGGAATAATGCTTAAAATTGAGTTCGAACCCAACTCCTGGCAATTGTTTGATCTCTTGTGCTTGGCACAAAGTAAAAAGACAAGTGAGTCCCGTCCACAACATAGCGGTCTACTGAACAGATCTGAGAGCGAGGTAGTCGATGCCGGTGAAGGCGGAGCTTCACCAAGGAGGGGTTGACGCTCTCCAGCGGGTTGTAAGAGGCGTAAGAGATGTAAGAGTGCATCGAAAACAATGGCCTGGGAAAACGGGACAAGTAGCAGCAGTTTTTTTTTTGGTAGTCCTGCCATCCTATCTGGAGCTGCTGGTGTGTAAAGTGGGTAATGAGATGATAGGAGTACGGTTCATCAAAACCCTACTTTGAAGCAGATTTTTGAAAAACTATCCTGATCAGTTCCTGCAGAAGCCTGAAACATCTTGGAAAAGGTTGACCTCCACGGATGTACGGCAAATCAATGGAGTGGGGATGTAATCGGCAATACATACTGTACAATAGAAGCAGGAGGATAGTTCCAAACCTGAAGGCTGTGTTTCTGTGAATGGCTGCGTTTCACTGCACCCCCTGGGTTATTGACGCCCCCACCCCTCACACCAATCAGTAAACCTATCTGTAGAAAGTATTATATAAACCACACCTTCATTCGAATTATTCTCTCAAACTCCAATAATCCCATTATGATTCTAAATTGTCTACAAGGCGTACATGGGATATTACTGGAAGATCCGGTGCTACTCGTATTTTCTGGGTATCAAGACCACAATCAACAGTCACCCTTTGCTATTTTGTTTGCTTCGTACTGAAAAGGTTAAACATTAATTCAATTAACCAATTAAATTTATAACAGTTTGAGTAGTGGGAGACGGTCACGGGTTCGAATCCCGGATCGATATCCGCTCAGACCAACCGATCCTTACATCCCTTCTTTTTGCTTACCGTAGTCAACTATATGCCCCAGGATCCATGCAATGACACAGACTGTATAGTTCGTCCAAACACCTAACTCTTCTTCATTTTCCTGGTCTCATTCTCGTCCAGCCCCCTTTTTAACGATTTTTCGAAGCCTTTTCTCATTTTGGGAATACCGATTCACACAGTTCCTTCGCGTTCATTACACTATTTTCTACCTAATCTTCCAATTTCCGTCATAATCTGGATTATCCAAAATTATCGTGGACTGTAACTTTAAAGCTAGTAGGTGTTCTAATGGAGAAGAGGTGGTATAATGGCGAGTGACCCACTTCCACACACGCATGGTCCAGAGATCGAATCAAGGAGCTTAGCCAGGGAAGGAAGTGCTCCATCACCGAGATTAATCAATCGGTACCATATTCGCCTGAGAGGATCGGCTGACAGGGCAAGTCATTGTAAATGCCACATACGCAGTCACACGTCATTACGAATCTGAAAGGAAGTCGAATGTGAGGCGCATCCCAGAAAAAGGCTTCATCCTCGTAGCCTTTCCAGTGTTATCATGGCACTGATATAGCTGTGTATTTTTTTATGAGAGAGTGATATAAAATATCGTCATTCCTCCTCTTCATGCAGGACCATTGTGTTTAAAATCTTGAATGTCAAATGTTCGTTCATAACCGAAGCTTTCCCCGATGCGTCACACACTCGGCTCCCATTCAGAATCGTGATGACTAGTTCGAATAACACTTTCACGTCCTTTCAGAAGTCTAGAATTTGGAGTTTTGACGGTAAACGATGATTAAGTCTGTGTCTTTTTTCTACTCTGCTGCCTTCGACGACATCAATTCACTAGGAATGGAAAAGAACAAATTAGCCGGAAGAATTGGAGAGGTGGGGGAATGGTTAGTTTCGGTTTCATTAGGACTCCCTTCACCACCCCTCACCTAGGGTATTTTCCTTTGCGCTCTGACCTTTCGCTGTCATAGACGCAGAGGAAGATCAAGCAGTAACGTGACCGTTAGTTTTGGTATTTCGCAATAGACTTGATTTTTTCTCGAATGTTTCGGGAATATCCAGTCAAAATCCAATTCCCTTGCGCATAACTTAACCTCTCCCAACTTCATTGCTTATTCAAATACTCGTTGGGTCGCCGGACTGGCGCCGGTCGCTTCTATTTTCGTGTTAACGTTGGTCCCCACCTGAACGCATTCCATATTTCAATGCGGTAGTTTCAAAAGAAGAGCGACTGTTCTCTGGCCAAACACACACACTTGGATACAATTTGAATGCGTCTAGCCCGCCATGAACGGCCTCCTCCCCACCCCCGAGAGGAGTCCTGATAATTTTCGCGCACGCAGAGGTCAGAAATCAGCATCATCATGAGGAAATGATACCCTGCAATCATAAGTGAAAATCACTCATAGTACAGGTGGAAGCTCTGACGAAGTGCTATGACTCTAAATTCCTCCTAAACTAACCACTTCTTAACTGTCAGCTCAAAGCCAGATCCGCTTTGTTGTACTGGAAATAAAGCATAATGCGAGAAGACCTCGTTAGGAAGTTTAGAATGTTAATGTTAATCAACCGCATGTACTTGTTGAGAAATCCTCGTTAGGTCCTTCGTGTGGTTGTAAACGCAAAGCCTGCCGAAGCTTCGACAATATAAGACCGAGATGACTTCCATTCGTCGCACTGACTGAACAGTTACTGCATCTCAGATAACAATGGAGAAGGTCAACTGTCCCTTGCGATCTCTTCCACATCTCTCGCTAACGGGGATGCGTATATTACCTGCGCTGTTGCTGGCGCTCTGCCACGCGTCGCTGCGGTTCTTTCCGAAGCCCCCAATCATGGTGGATGCGGAAGCATGCAAGACGAGGGTACTGCGGTAGATGTTGTGGCATGTTGAGGCGTACGATCCCTTCTCCCCTGCACCTGCGGTCCCTACTATTTATCTGCAACATGTCAGAATGTGTGTGTTATGTTACGAAGAATAAACAATTGTCTAAAAGAATGTTATACTATATGATAGTACGACCCCAATGACTATGCGATATGTAAGGGTCCTGCCCTTCCAACTATTAACAAGAAAACAAAGTATAAAAATTACTAATTTGATCATCATAGATTGAAGTGATAAAGTGGAAAAGCCCACGGCAAGCTCCTGCGTCACTAGGATCACCCTCTGCCCTTGTGGAAGGAGACGATCACGGTGTCCGCGGCCGTCTGCAAGGCACAAACAGTGTGCCTCCGCCCCCCCCCCCCCCCCCTCCGTTTTATTGCTGATCCTTCCTGCTCCAAGGAGTGTGTGCATCCTCCACGAGCTGCAGATGACCACAGCTGCTCGGCTGCAGCTGGCAGCTCGTCCCAGTGCGATTGTTCTGGTACCTGCGTATTGATGTCCCGCTTCCTGACGAGGCTGGATGACGACGTGAACTGCGACGATGATGATGCGCTAGAAGACGACGAACCGACCGAGCGATATCATGACATGGAATGAAGAATGAAGGTGTGGTGTGCAAACTCCACGCGTCCCCCATTGCCACGTGGCAATCGGTGCGCGGCGCGCAGCGTGATTGATGGAAATGGTAGTGTGCGTCGAATAATGCACATGCGGTGTGGTGACAGCCCTTGCGTCTGAAGAAGTCGTGGGCTCCACGACAATACCTACCACCCATCTCAGGCAAGACGGACATGACGTACCTCCAGTTCTACCTTCCGAAATTTGAAATGCCATCACGAAGAATGAAGAATGAACAGTTATACGGCACCTGGTCCCGGTAGGATCAAGCCAGAACATCTAATGAGCCCTTCACCGGCCATTGTCAAAGTCCTGGCCCTGCTCTTCACGCGGTACCTGTCGGAATGCAAAGTGCCCACTTCGTGGAACACTAGCATACTTTGTGGCTGTATAAGAAGGGAGATCCAGAGATATTGGTACTTATCGCCCAATCTGCCTGCTCTACAGCCGTGCGAACGAGCAGTGTTTTGGAGAGGGTTCAGTACAATTCACACTCTTAGAGTGTTAAGTGTACATATATCTACTTATTTATGCGTTTGTATGGTTATGAGGCAACAGATCAAAAGTACAGCTATGAATGGGTAATAGCAGTTCAAAAGGTAACAAAGTAATGGAAGTAAGTAAATAATTGAACGGATAGGCCAACGGCTCACTTTTCCCGTTGTTTGCGATAGGCTCCGGACCTCGTTTGTGGTGGTTCGCTTGACCCCCACTTCATTATGGGGATCGCTAACTTAAAACGTCGTTTCAGACTGCGAGAGCGACGAGGGTTGAGATCGTCGACATAGGCGACGATACACCGTTTTGAATATATATTAGGGTGAATGGGACCTAAAACCCTCCACCTTACATATGTAGTTACTAATAGCCAGCTATTAGCCTGCGGTCTTCTTCATAATCCTCGGTGTACTCCCCATCCCCATGGGTTGCATCCAAGATTCTGAATCATCCAAAGTTGGGCTAAAGGTTTTAGCTGAGTAGTTGTAGAGACTGGATCTCTGGAAATCTGAGAAGTTGAAGACAATCGGATATTGCCATAGTCATCCGTGAACAACCTACACATCTTTTTTTGTACCTCAGTAATTGTACAATCCCAGGATAAAATTTATGAATTTTCGATCCACCTAGCAATATTCTAAGTTATAGAAAAGTAGATCTGGACTTATTAAAAGACTTATAATCCGAGCTTCGCTAGGTTATGATATAATCACCAATATCTAGGTCGACGCACAGTCGTTTGGGCCTGGGCCACTGCACTGGAATGGTCAAGTTAAATCAAAACTGGTAAACAGGCAGACATAGAGGATTATATTGGTTAAAACTAAATAGTAGTAAGTAGGTGGTAGGTGAGAATAATCATGTTCACTTTTTTAGATGTATAGCTTCCTCTGACCCATATTCCTACACCGATCTGGTATGTAGTAGGTAGACGGTAGACGACTGGCATGTCGATATCACATTTTTGAAATATAAAAGTAAAAAAAAAAATACCCGCAATACTTCTAGTCTGAACACAAACATCAAGTCTTCAGACTTCACACGGTCAATAGCTCATTGTGAGTGTTCTTACCATTTCGAACGTATTATTGCAGATGGAAAAAGTAATGCTGCGCGAAATTCTTCGAACAAGGAATTCTCTGCTTTATGTAAGCAGTCAGTCAACAGATTCCGAGGGGATATTCCAGCACTTTATTTTCATAAATCAGATCAAATCGGTTGATTGAGCAGGAATTGTTGAATGGCGTAGTACATCTGAGGAGCTCTCATTCGTGGTGCCTCGTGACCCGCACCTCGTACTGAAACACGGTAACTGAAACTTTCGAATGAAGGCTTTTTTCAAAGCAAGCCGATCGAAGCTGAGCAATAGAATATGTACCTGTGATGAAGGTGAGCCCTTCGAATAGCGTCTTGAATCCGGCGATTTGACCGTCAAACTTCCATGGAGTTTTGCCGAGTGTTCGCTGAAAAACATGCTACACTGAAACGGTATTTTACGGTGGAAGTGGATACAGCGCAGGAGCGAGTGGGGCTACCTCATGTAGAGCTAGTGGATCAATGCTATTGGTCAGGGCTTTCCCCTTCTCAGACCAATTAACCTCTACCGGATTCACATCTCAAGGTTTTTCGACGCTTTTTTTCAGCTTTTCGGAATTTCACAGGCTTCTATGCACACGGAAACCGCTAGGGATCAGGATGAGGACCATAAGAAGGGCGCATCTCATGAAGGTGGTGTCTAATGAGCGAAGCTCTAGTTTCTCTCTGTTCAAATCATGGGTAACGAGAATGACAACTTACTTTCAATTCGAGTTGATCGGCAAATTTTTGACCCATCATAAAGTTGCAAGCCATATCAGTGTCTCCGTAGTAGAGAAGTACTCGGACATTCGCAGCAACGATCCTCCTAATGAACAGCGACATGTCTTTGTACTGTTCCTGATAGGTGTTAGCGATTTGGTCACTACAACTATCCATCATTCCTCACATAGCAAT